AGTATTAGAGAAGGTCTTTTGAGTATTAGAAAAGGTCTTTTGAGTATTAGAAAAGGTCTTTTGAGTATTAGAAAAGGTCTTTTGAGTATTAGAAAAGGTCTTTTGAGTATTAGAAAAGGTCTTTTGAGTATTAGAAAAGGTCTTTTGAGTATTAGATAAGGTCTTTTGAGTATTAGAAAAGGTCTTTTGAGTATTAGAAAAGGTCTTTTGAGTATTAGAAAAGGTCTTTTGAGTATTAGATAAGGTCTTTTGAGTATTAGAAAAGGTCTTTTGAGTATTAGAAAAGGTCTTTTGAGTATTAGAAAAGGTCTTTTCAGTATTAGAAAAGGTCTTTTGAGTATTAGATAAGGTCTTTTGAGTATTAGAAAAGGTCTTTTGAGTATTAGAAAAGGTCTTTTGAGTATTAGAAAAGGTCTTTTGAGTATTAGAAAAGGTCTTTTGAGTATTAGAAAAGGTCTTTTGAGTATTAGAAAAGGTCTTTTGAGTATTAGAAAAGGTCTTTTGAGTATTAGAAAAGGTCTTTTGAGTATTAGAAAAGGTCTTTTGAGTATTAGAAAAGGTCTTTTGAGTATTAGAAAAGGTCTTTTGAGTATTAGAAAAGGTCTTTTGAGTATTAGAAAAGGTCTTTTGAGTATTAGAAAATAAGGCCGCGAGTCGGAAAAAAATGAAAAAAAGGGTTCTCACATAGCTGTGTTGTGCACATTCCTGGGAGCACATAATGTTTGTCTTCCTCACACACTTGTCACTTTCTGGGAGAGTGCTCCTTACTTTCCTCTCTCGCTGTTGTTTCTTGTTAAGCTTGGGTTACCTTGCGTTGATTCCGGGGCTGAACGTTTCCTCGGCCCGGTTCCCTGACCAGGCCTTCTGGTTGCTGGACTGGTCAATCATCAGGCTGTTGGATTTGGTTGGTCAAGCTTTTGCCAGTATATCGTCGTCAAATTGGTGCTCTGGTGACTCTTGGTGAGCTCTTTTCTGGCTCTCGTCAGCTCTTTCCTGTAGTCTCCAGGGCAGAGTTCTGTGTACATTTTGTACGAGTTTCTGTTCATGTCCTCTTGTCTCCATTGTACATATGGCGCACTTTCCTCCCCTCTCCTTCCTTCCTGAGAGGTGACATCTTCACATTTCCTTACTACAAATTACATCATCTCATGTGTCATCCTTCCTGTAGTCCGCCTGTAGTCCGCCTGTAGTCCGCCTGTAGTCCGCCTGTAGTCCGCCTGTAGTCCGCCTGTAGTCTCTCACGCCTACCTCAACCTGTCCTCATCGGGTCACGAAGTTACAGCCCCGCTCCTGTGCCAGGTAAGTCCACTACGGGCTCACCATAGCCCGTGCTACTTGCTCCGCTCCTGTGCCAGGTAAGTCCACTACGGGCTCACCATAGCCCGTGCTACTTGCTCCGCTCCTGTGCCAGGTAAGTCCACTACGGGCTCACCATAGCCCGTGCTACTTGCCCCGCTCCTGTGCCAGGTAAGTCCACTACGGGCTCACCATAGCCCGTGCTACTTGCTCCGCTCCTGTGCCAGGTAAGTCCACTACGGGCTCACCATAGCCCGTGCTACGTGGAACTTTTTGTTCCCAGTAGCTGAATCTTATTAAACAACAACTGTCCTCATCTGAGCCACTCCCGCACCTCTACTGTGCTGTCACGCAACTCAGTAACGCTGGCTCTTACTGTGACGTTACATTGAGGTGTTTCCGTGGATTAGTGCCCCCACGGGCCCGGTCTTCTGGGTGAAGAGGGGATCTTTTTTTCTTATTTTTTGCCATTTAGGTGTAGTGGCGGGTCCTCTCCTCTGATTCTTGTTAATTACTCACCTAATTGTGGTTGCGGGGGTTGAGCTCTGGCTCTTTGGTCCCGCCTCTCAACCGTCAATCAACTGTGTTAGCATTGTGAGAGATGTGCGTGTTTCTGTCACTCTGGGGCCGTCATTACAGCTCCTCCTTAATTACCATCTCTTGAGTATTAGAAAACTAGTGTATGTACATAGGCTTCCTGTCCCCGACAACTGGAATTAACTGGAAGATTCCTCCCATCTGCCTCTACTCCACACATGCAGAAGCAGTGTTCTCCAGCTTCCTCTGCTCCACACATGCTCCACAGTGGTGCTCCACACACTCTCCACAGTGGTGTTCCACACACATGCTCCACAGTGGTGCTCCACACACTCTCCACAGTGGTGCTCCACACACATGCTCCACAGTGGTGCTCCACACACTCTCCACAGTGGTGTTCCACACACATGCTCCACAGTGGTGTTCCACACACTCTCCACAGTGGTGCTCCACACATGCTCCACAGTGGTGCTCCACACACTCTCCACAGTGGTGCTCCACACACATGCTCCACAGTGGTGCTCCACACACTCTCCACAGTGGTGCTCCACACACATGCTCCACAGTGGTGCTCCACACACTCTCCACAGTGGTGTTCCACACACACTCTCCACAGTGGTGCTCCACACACATGCTCCACAGTGGTGCTCCACACACTCTCCACAGTGGTGCTCCACACACATGCTCCACAGTGGTGCTCCACACACTCTCCACAGTGGTGCTCCACACACACTCTCCACAGTGGTGCTCCACACACATGCTCCACAGTGGTGCTCCACACACTCTCCACAGTGGTGTTCCACACACATGCTCCACAGTGGTGCTCCACACACATGCTCCACAGTGGTGTTCCACACACATGCTCCACAGTGGTGTTCCACACACTCTCCACAGTGGTGCTCCACACACATGCTCCACAGTGGTGCTCCACACACATGCTCCACAGTGGTGTTCCACACACATGCTCCACAGTGGTGCTCCACACACTCTCCACAGTGGTGCTCCACACACATGCTCCACAGTGGTGCTCCACACACATGCTCCACAGTGGTGCTCCACACACTCTCCACAGTGGTGCTCCACACACATGCTCCACAGTGGTGTTCCACACACATGCTCCACAGTGGTGCTCCACACACTCTCCACAGTGGTGCTCCACACACATGCTCCACAGTGGTGCTCCACACACTCTCCACAGTGGTGCTCCACACACATGCTCCACAGTGGTGCTCCACACACTCTCCACAGTGGTGCTCCACACACATGCTCCACAGTGGTGCTCCACACACTCTCCACAGTGGTGTTCCACACACACTCTCCACAGTGGTGCTCCACACACATGCTCCACAGTGGTGCTCCACACACATGCTCCACAGTGGTGCTCCACACACTCTCCACAGTGGTGCTCCACACACATGCTCCACAGTGGTGTTCCACACACATGCTCCACAGTGGTGCTCCACACACTCTCCACAGTGGTGCTCCACACACATGCTCCACAGTGGTGCTCCACACACATGCTCCACAGTGGTGCTCCACACACTCTCCACAGTGGTGCTCCACACACATGCTCCACAGTGGTGCTCCACACACTCTCCACAGTGGTGCTCCACACACTCTCCACAGTGGTGCTCCACACACACTCTCCACAGTGGTGCTCCACACACTCTCCACAGTGGTGCTCCACACACTCTCCACAGTGGTGCTCCACACACATGCTCCACAGTGGTGCTCCACACACTCTCCACAGTGGTGCTCCACACACACTCTCCACAGTGGTGTTCCACACACATGCTCCACAGTGGTGTTCCACACACACTCCACAGTGGTGCTCCACACACATGCTCCACAGTGGTGCTCCACACACATGCTCCACAGTGGTGCTCCACACACTCTCCACAGTGGTGCTCCACACACACTCTCCACAGTGGTGTTCCACACACATGCTCCACAGTGGTGCTCCACACACATGCTCCACAGTGGTGCTCCACACACTCTCCACAGTGGTGCTCCACACACACTCTCCACAGTGGTGCTCCACACACATGCTCCACAGTGGTGCTCCACACACATGCTCCACAGTGGTGCTCCACACACTCTCCACAGTGGTGTTCCACACACATGCTCCACAGTGGTGTTCCACACACATCCATATTCCCCGGTGATGGAAACGTTGGCTCAGCTTCCGCTCTGTGACTTAAACTCAACGTGACTGGACCTTAAGAAGAAAGTTCTCGCGTTCAAGTTCTTGCGTCAGCGGAGAGAGGAAGCTGACTGACCAGCGGTGTCAGCCACTGAGTGTCACGTCCCTGTGGTCAGCTGTGTCACGTCTCTGTGGTCAGCTGTGTCAGGTCCCTGTGGTCAGCTGTGTCACGTCTCTGTGGTCAGCTGTGTCACGTCTCTGTGGTCAGGTGTGTCACGTCTCTGTGGTCAGCTGTGTCACGTCCCTGTGGTCAGCTGTGTCACGCCCCTGTGGCCGGCTGTGTCACGCCCCTGTGGTCAGCTGTGTCACGCCCCTGTGGCCAGCTGTGTCACGTCCCTGTGGTCAGCTGTGTCACGTCCCTGTGGTCAGCTGTGTCACGCCCCTGTGGTCAGCTGTGTCACGCCCCTGTGGCCAGCTGTGTCACGCCCCTGTGGTCAGCTGTGTCACGCCCCTGTGGTCAGCTGTGTCACGCCCCTGTGGCCGGCTGTGTCACGTCTCTGTGGTCAGCTGTGTCACGCCCCTGTGGTCAGCTGTGTCACGCCCCTGTGGCCGGCTGTGTCACGCCCCTGTGGCCGGCTGTGTCACCTCCCTGTGGCCAGCTGTGTCACCTCCCTGTGGCCGGATAACCTTGAGGGATAACCAAGATGGCAGGAGATGAGGCAGATGAGGCAGGAAGTTCATGGTCTGGGATGCTGGGGGGGATGCTGGGGCCAGGACAGGATTAGGGATTTAGGAATAGATTTAGAAACCATTTTTCTCTCTCAAACATCCACTGTCTTAATTTTTCTCCTTGGCCCGCCTTCAAGGCGGGCCAAGATTTACATTCCGTCTACGATTATTTATTCTTTTGTTATTAAATCAACTCGAAATGGGGAAAAATAGCAAATATGGTAATTGGTAACTGGGCGAGGCGCATCGGGGTGAAGTGAGGTCGGAAGCTTCCAGCTGGGTTCCCATCAGTGTTGTCTTGACAGTCAGAGGGAAAGGATGTGCGCGCGCCGTCTCTGGCCTCCGTTACACGCACCAATCAACTCCTAATGACTCGGGATTCGCTTGTCGTGTGTGTACAAAGTGCGTGACGCTTTTCTGGGATTATATCAACATCTGCGGGTGTGCACAAGCGTCTGTGTGTGGGTTGTGGTGTAAAATAATGGTGTGATTTGTATTTACAACACATTTACAAAGTGTTTTGTAAATGAAAAAATGTAGTGTCCGAGCTACGAAGAGTTGGGAGTTCTGAAGTCATCGCGACATGTTATATTGTAATGTAAGTGTACTGTGGTGGCAGGAGTGGGCGTACTGTTGGTACTGAGAGGGGTACTGGTGGTGGCAGGAGTGGGGGTACTGTTGGTACTGTGGGGGGTACTGGTGGTGGCAGGGCTGGGGGGGTACTGTTGGTACTGTGAGGGGGGTACTGGTGGTGGCAGGGCTGGGTGTACTGTTGGTACTGTGAGGGGGTTACTGGTGGTGGCAGGGCTGGGTGTACTGTTGGTACTGTGAGGGGTACTGGTGGTGGCAGGGCTGGGTGTACTGTTGGTACTGTGAGGGGTACTGGTGATGGCAGGGCTGGGGGTACTGTTGGTACTGTGAGAGGTACTGGTGGTGGCAGGGCTGGGGGGGTACTGTTGGTACTGTGAGGGTATTATATAGACTGTGGGTTGGTTGGTGTTGTCGTCGTTGATCCTTCTCTATGGACAACCCAACCCACAACTCGGCAGAGTGCTTATACTAGGAGATCACCCTTGGCGCTTCTGGCTCTTGGAGAGGGGCTCAACGTCACACGTTCAGGGGATGCGGCTCCAACACTTAGCCTCGTTGTCACGTGCACACACCCACTCGAGCCGCTGTGACTCCCCACTCTCTCCTTATGAGATATGATCTCCTCAATCCCCCTATGACTTACCAGTATTACCTCCTACCCTGTCCACAGCAGTGGTTCATGGTTCTTCCCCTCTCTCTCTCCTTCTTTACCACCTCCTGGGAAGCCTCACTAGGACAAGGGCAAACACCAGCAAATTGTAACACATTTACTGAACAAAGCACATACACGATACATACACACATCTAATAATAATGAATCCTATACTCTATAATATCCAAATCAGGTTGCACTCCAATACCATCAGAACTCTATTATCAGCTTATCAAGTGGTATCCCAACTCCTGGTTCACCACCTGGTACTATTAACCTCCTCAAGTTGGTCAAGCCCACACACTGTTGCACCATCAGCAAGATAACATATATATATAGAAAACCAGCATTTGAATGCAATAACATATACCAGTATAAATGTTCATTGATACTTCAATATAAGAAACTCCTTGACATAAGGATGCCAACAGTCACTCACCTCTCACTGCGTCTTGCACGCTACTGACAACCAAACACTATCAACTCCCTATAAGTAATCCACCAGAACTTCCCCTTCCACCTCTGGAAGTTCACAACCCTAATATCCTTAGGTTCTTCCAGGCTTCACTACCAGGATCCTCTGCAGCTCCTCCAGGCTGCTATCATGAAGTTTCCTTGTGCAACTACGGTGCTTCACCCTTCTGTTAGGTTCTTCCACAGCTCTCTTGGCTGCTACACCACCTCTACAGAAGCACGTGACACTCCTCTTCACTGCTGCTTCTCCTCACAGCTCGAGGTCCTCTGCTTCACTACCTTGGAGTCTCATCAGCTACTTCCTCTGCTGGCTTCGAAGTTCTCAGCAACTTCTTCCCCAAAGAACAAACCTGCAACCCATCGACACTCCAATAAAATGTTCCCCTCTTTAACACATAAACAAAAATAACCACACACTATGCTTGCCTCAAACCTCTATCTGTTCTCTACATACAGTGAGAGTGGACTCCCCCGTTTTGGGCGGGTCCATACTCCACCTCGCCTGGTGTCGGTCCCCACTCACTGGGAGGGTCTTCCTCCGTCAAGAGCCCGGCTCCCTCAGTCTTCCGCCAGCGCTCAGAGGGGGCGGACGTCGCTCCGTGTTCCTCCCTCTTCACTCTCCTATTTCAGGCTTTCTGCCTTATTAAAACATGTCTAACTTATACATAAACATTGCTACTGTCGCTGGGCACACGACCAAACTACAAGTAATCACTATGAACTGGCGTTTATCGTGCTTACCACAGATTAATTGGTCGAGGGCGCTTTCCCTCTGACGGCGTCTGGTCAGGGCGCTCCACACAGCCCACAATAATGCTTCTGGGCGATTTAATATCTGCTCGTCGACCAGGACTTGAGACCACAACGTTCCCAGCTCGATTCCACAGCTGGTACGTCCGCACACTTCTCTTCTCTGCGAGATATATCACTAGGGGTTCCCTTCTGGCGGGAGCTCAAACGGAGCGCGGCTTCCCCCTGCGATGTCTGGCACTCAAGTGAGGTCAAGGTCCTCCGGAAGCGAGCCTCACGCCTCCAGCAAAGTGTCCACATCTCCTAGCCAGTCATTTATCTATTTCCTTACTTACTGCCCATAATCTTAAATTGTTTTACATATCCAACCAGCCATTTTTCATATGGGTTATCACCTCAATATTTGCTAGACCTTCTAGTTAGGTCAGGCTTGCTGAATAACTCTCAAGAAGGGAGACTCGTTTCTCCTGCAGGCTGAGATCATAACAGGGGTACTGGTGGTGGCAGGGCTGGGGGGGTACTGTTGGTACTGTGAGGGGTACTGGTGGTGGCAGGGCTGGGGGTACTGTTGGTACCGTGAGAGGTACCATAGGGGTTCATAAACAACCACGTTTTCTATGCGTGAAGGGTCTGCTAGGTTAGGTTCGAGCAATTTAATACAACATTGTTGGTATTACTACTGGAGAGGACGAGGGACCAGATTCACGAAGCAGTTACGCAAGCACTTACGAAGCTGTACATCTTTTCTCAATCTTTGGCGGCTTTGTTTACAATTATTAAACAGTTAATGAGTTCCGAAGCACCAGGAGGCTGTTTATAACAATAACAACAGTTGATTGGCAAGTTTTCATGCTTGTAAACTGTTTAATAAATGTAACCAAAGCCGTCAAAGATTGAGGAAAGATGTACACGTTCGTAAGTACTTGCGTAACTGCTTCGTGAATCTGACCCACCGTGAAGCAGCGGCTTCCCAGTAATTGGCCAGTATCCCGTCAGGAAAGACTTCCGTTTTCTAAGCAAAGTTTAAATCGGGGACTAACCTGATCTTGACCTCGACATTCTTGACCGACTCGGATGTGACGCATTGCGTTGTCCTTTGCTTGTCCATGTCTATATCTCGCAGGGGTGACTATGAACAGTTATGTTGACCAGACCACACACTAGAAGGTGAAGGGACGACGACGTTTCGGTCCGTCCTGGACCATTCTCAAGTCGATTCTCAATCATTGTCAATCCTGGACCATTCTCAATCGACTTGAGAATGGTCCAGGACGGACCGAAATGTCGTCGTCCCTTCACCTTCTAGTGTGTAGTCTGGTCAACTTACTTTAGCCACGTTATTGTGACTCATCGCCTGCATAAATATGAAGATATTCTTTCTAATCAGGTGATTCCCCGACCACTTAATAATAGACTTATCCGGAAAATCAGAGATTTCTTAACCTGGTCTAAAAATACACAATGTCGTCACGGACGGGTTGGTCTAAGGATGGGATGGAAGGTGTACCAATGCTGTGTACAGTATGAGGGAAAACCCGCCTACTGATTCTACAAACTTGAAGTGTAAACACACTGTAGGACTGGTTACCTACGGACGAGTTTACCGGATTGATTGTTGGCGCCCGAGGTGGCTAGTTAATTGTGCACCCCATACTCATCGTGTGAGCGGTAGCGCAAAAAGCATTACAGAGGCAGAAAAGGTCTTTATCAGACCTCAACGGAGATTATTACATAAACAATTTCATCTATCCTTCACACCTTATAATTACATTGTCAGCTAGTTACAGAGAAATGTTCTATTTCAAGAGCTATATATTTACAGTTAATCATTATACATTAATGGTAGATGTTATCGCTAATACATAATTGTTTGAGCTATGGAGATATTGTTATTATTAGTCTTCACAATACACTACTTGTTTCTTGATCTCATATGTTGTTGATCTACTGGAAGCGAAATTTGAACACAGTGCAAGAATTTCAGGTATTTTATCCTTAGTAATAAGATGGTTCGCCATTTCATACAGCGTGAGTTTAAATTTATCTCAAAATGGCTCAATTTTACTACAATCCAAGATATAGTGTTCGAGTGTGTGTCCCTGTCTTTGTCCACACACTTTACACTTTACTTCATCTAGATCCCTATACAAGCCGAACTGCCAGAGATACTTGTAGCCAAGTCTTATACGAGCTGTGACAACATCTGTTAGTCTACTGACTTTGTTACTTGCCACATACACATGTTTTACTTCACACATTTCATTGTGATGAACAATGGACCTGCTAGTTCCAGTTTGCACAGTTCTACTTTCTTCAAATTCATCCAGGAGTTCTCGTCTAATGACACTTTTAAGGGACCTATTTGATAACTCAAGATTCCGTTCAATACTGTCTTTGTTTACTGCAACCTTAGCAAAGGCACCAACTTATCATGTTCGTGTTGTTGTTGTTGTTTAAGATTCGCTACTTGGAACAAAAAGTTCCAAGCAGCACGGGCTATGGTGAGCCCGTAGTATTCCTGTGTAATACCGTGGTTTACTTGTCCTCTTCTTATACTTCTCTTAACACTTGGTTAATGATTAAAAGGTAACAAGGTCTTTCATCTTGCCTCTGAGTCAGTGGAGGACCATCAAACAGCTGTATGCTCGAAGTCGAATTCATCTGGATGGTGATTACTGGTGTCAGCTCTCAAATGAACACAGTGCCAGATTCACGAAAGCAGTTACGCAAGCACTTACGAACCTGTACATCTTTCCTCAATCTTTGGCGGCTTTGTTTACAATTATTAAACAGTTAATGAGCTCGGAAGCACCAGGAGGCTGTTTATAACAATAACAACAGTTGATTGGCAAGTTTTCATGCTTGTAAACTGTTCAATAAATGTAACCAAAGCCGTCATAGATTGAGGAAAGATGTACTCGTTCGTAAGTGCTTGCGTAAGTGCTTTCGTGAATCTGGCCCCAGGTTGTCAGAGGAGGCAGAGATGTTGTTTCTCATAATGGGGGGAGGTGTACGGGGATCAACGTCCCCGTGGCCCGGTCTCTGGACTAAACTAGTCGGTGGTCTAGTCACCCAGGGTGTTGGACGCGGCTCTTCGCACTCTGACGGATGAATCACAGCCTGGTTGATCA